TTAAAAAATCACACAAATCTAAAATGGAGATAGATACTATATGTTTATGTATTGTATACTTCTATCATTTCTTCTCTGTGGAAAAGAAGCTTGCAATAGAAAATTGTTTTTAAATGTGTGTATTTTAGCTGAGGTAGAAGAAACTAAAAATAAAAAAGCAACTAAACAATGTCAACTATACTAGGACCATTTGGAAGGTGCATGCATAGAGATGGACTATACAAGCCTCCCATCTGCTGCCTTTTTAATTATTATTTATTTATTACATTTATTTATACCCCGCTTTATCTCCCTTGAAGGGAATTCAAAGTGGCTTTTTGCCGCTGTCTAGTTGTAGATAGGAGACACTAGCAATGGGTCAAATGGGTCAAACCCTTGTGCTGGCAGGAATGCTGACCAATAGGTAAGCGGTTTGAATCAGGGGAGCAGAGTGAGCTCCCATCTGTCAGATCTAGCTTCTCATGCAGGGACATGACAGAAGCCTCCCACAGGATGGTAAAACATCTGGGCATCCCCAGGGCAACATCCTTGCAGATGGCCAATTCTCACACATCAGAAGTGACCTGCAATTTCTCAAGTCACTCCTGACATGAAAAAAAGTTGTAGAGAATGTATTCCAGTTTAGATGGATCTCTTTGTGCTTTAGAGTATGAGGAATCCCTATCGATATTCTCCATGAGAAGTCTCTCCCTTTTCATATATAGAGCTCAACAGGCATGATCATGGTGGGAAGCAGGGCTACTGCATTCATCCTCATACACCATTCTCCTGCAGTTACTTTTGCTACATTTTGAAAGTGGTTGAAACTGGAGGAGCCAATAACTCAAGGGGAATACAAACATCACTAAAAATGTCTCAATGTTCCCAAAATAGAAGAATTCTCTACAGTATTATACAAGACAGGGTTGGCATCTGTTTGTGCCTTGAGGTATATGACCTTCTAAGCAAGAGGATAACATTCTTGGTGAGTTCTAATCTTCAGTGTTCATTTGGGAGTCTGGCCAAATCCGAATATTATTGGTGTTAGCATTTATTGACTGGCAAGGGAATCTGCTGGGGTTGCAAATACCCTCTGTGCCAACTCTTCTATCAGCACCTTCCAATGCAGCTTTTGAGGACAGGCTACTATATTCTGTATGGAGTATATAAGAGAACATGAGAGAGAAGAATACTGATACTTCTAGAAAAATAAATAGTATCTACCATTACGGATGCAAGTATACTGGGACCTTACTTTAGGCTATATTCTGGGATCTTACAAATATAAATGTCTGATACATTGAACACAAGAATGAGTGAGAGATATTACACAAAAGTACTATTAAAGAGAGTATCTTAAGAAAGTAATGGTGAAGTGCTGAAGTCATTTATAAGATAGTCAAATATAATGCATAGAATACAAGCTTTCTGCTAGTCATGACTGGCAGGTTGCCAGTTAATTTTCCCAAAGATATAAGCCATTCACTTTACCAAAGGGTCAGTCAAAGTCTGCAGCAGGGATGCAAAATGGATGTAAATTAATAGAGCTGTTCTAGGTATACTTCCTATAGGAAAGGCCGAAGGAACCAACTTAATCAGTCAGCCCTAATGTTCACTGGAGTTAGGGGCACAAGAGCCCCGAAAAAGTAAAAAACAGTGAATAAAAATCGCTATATTTTTAATCTGAGAGAACACTTCTCTATGTCAGGCCTCTTCAACATGTGGTGCCATAGTTGTTTTGGACTTCGGCTACCAGAATTCCTGACCATTGAACAAGCTGGCCAGGGCTTTTGGGGGTTGGAGACCCAAACACCTGAGGAGCTACGGTTTGAAGAGGCCTGCTCTAGGTCTGGACTATAGTTTGAAAAAAACATGAACAAATTAGATATGCACACTGAACATATCTTATTTGTAGTGCAAAAGAAATATGAAAGAACAATACAATATTTAAAATGATAAACTTGCCAGTATTTCAATGTGAAGTGTGGACCTTTTTTGGCTGATGAGATTGTCAATTTAATTAGGATTGCTGTTGTTGTCTGCCTTCAAGTCATTTCAGACTTAAGTGGACCTGTCTAAAGTTTAGAGCAGGTGGCAGGTAAATGACTTTGGAGGGCTGCATCTGGCCTGCGGGCCTTAGTTTGAGGACCCCTGCTCTATGGTCACACTGGAGGACCTAGAGGTTCCTAGAGTAAACCTTTAATCAAGTCAAGTTAAATCTGTAACCTGTACATGGCTAGTTCATGATTAGAAGGAATGCAGACAGGAATCAGCATGGCTACAGAAAATGTACCAGGACCTGAGTGTGCTCAGTAAGCTGACAGGTCAACAACTTGGAGAACAAATCAAACATATTGGGAAATTAGAAACAAAAAGAGAGCTCAACAACAATGTCCAGCCATTTAAGCCATGGAAAAGACCAATCGAATTTATACAGAAAAATAGAACATTGTACACCCAATGATCCATTACATCAATAGCCATCATTGACTGCAACTGAGATGGCTACTTGTTCATCCGTTTTGAAAGTGAACTTTCGTATATGTCCCTTTCCTCAATGATGGTGATGAAAAAGAATATGCAAGGAGGTTAAGAGCATCTGACAAATTCTTCCTAACCTGAGCAGTACAATAGAGGAGTAAAAAAAGAGAGAGCAGGTATTGGCATTTTGTACTTGGCAAAGCAAGGAATCCACATTTAGGACACACAGGACAATAGGGAGTGGATGTAAGAACAACTTTCACTGTTATGCGATAGATTTTGTAGCAACTTAGAGACTAATTGAGAGAATGATGTTGGAAGCATAAACTTTCCTAAGATGCCTCCAAGGCTTATGATAACTTTGTTCTCTCAGTGACTTCATGTGCTCAGGTACAATACTTATACATCTGTCAGCTTTAACTTTTAACACATTGTACGTTAACGCTTAACACAAAAGTACTATCCCTTCTGAGTACAGTGACAAAAGGCAAGAGATTAAACCATCCTGTGAGAACCTAAATGACCTCCTCTACTCTCTTCTCCATGGTTTTTTTAAAATACCTGGGCAGAAAAAATATGTAGATGACTAGGAGCAGCTGTCCCCTTGAGGTGGCATTCATGCTTCCCCCTCTCTGCATAATGATCCTCAACTTATCCATGGATCTGATCAAAATTCATAATTTTAGTCTCAAAATTTATTCCAAACCATGATTTATTCATGGTTGACAAATACCCGAGTTGATATGGTTGTCTGCAAGGGACTACAAGATTCCATTGCCTACTGATGTTGCAAACTAACATGGTTATGTCTTCCACTGTTGTTACAGTCATGGGCAGCCTTTTCCGTTACTTTGATGCTCTACTTCAGTTATACCATGATCATAAAAGTGCTTCTTGGTATCATCTTATGTTAACTCCCATTAATGAGACTTACTCCTAGATACATCAATGAGTCCTAAGAGATAAAGTGAGCTAAAAGTCCTTATTGTACCATTGAAAAGGCACATAGTCATAGAAAGAACACCAATAGCAGGCCCCCATGGTCGCACTGAATGGACTGCCAAAAGTGATCATACTAAGCCTATTTCCATCTTCAATAGTTCTATCATCCTCCTCTCATGGAGGCTGACCTTCTGAAGATAAGACATCATCCTAAGCATAACAACTACTCATCAATACAGTAAAGGAGGTTCTCATTACCAAAAAGTTAATTAGCAAATGAGGACAGCATATGAGACATAGGGCGAGACTAGTGCACTCTCCTTTCATGTTTATTCTGCTTAGTTCTTGAATGGTCAAGAGAAAAACTATTAATGAATAATATGGATCCTAGGCCCTTCTTTGAATGCTGTCATTGGACTGAGAAATCTTAAAACTTGTGTTTTGCTAAGGTACTATTGCCCACTTCCCTGAAGTTCTGCTGAGAATTCCGAGTGCACGGCCAAACTACAAATCCCAAGATTCTGTTGGATTGAGACATGGCAGTGAAGAGAGTATCCAACTGCTGTAACAGGAAGTGCTGATACTCTCTGGAATTCAAATACATTAAAAACTTCCATAAAGTAAAAGAATATCACAGTGCATATCCATTATTGATTATACATCAGAGTACAGCAAGCTCAGGAGGACTTTCTTTACTACCATCCATTCATTCCAACATCACGACAAGTACACACAATGGTAGTTTAAATATTCCACCACAATTATCCATATCTCCTGAGGCATGCAACAACTCTATGTGGAATTTACAATCAGGAAGAGCCAGAAATCTATAACTGTCTTTAAAGCCAAAAAAAAGTCAACTTTCATGAAATTTCTAGCACAAAAACCATCACATGGCACTGCACTTTAACTATGTGGCTTTAAAAATAAGTTTGTTAAATTTCTGCCATTTGTCTGAAAAAATGTTACAAAAGGATAAAAGGATGGAGAAGGCATTAGCAGGACTATTTCAGATATTCTCTATTTATCCATCTCCTGTTTCAGCCATTACACAAATCAGAAGTGTATGGCACACAGTAAAGTAATTTATCGTCAGGAGAATAGAGATGCAAGAAAAAAAACTATGAATATAGCAAGTTTCTGTCCTCTTCACAGCTCTTCATACTCCATCTGTTTACTTGTTAGATACGAAATTAACCCCATTTGATTAAAAGGCAAGCAGTGGCAGTGGAGAATTCTCTTTGAAAGACATCAGCATGGAAAAGGACAATCGATCCCAATTAACAGTTTCCAGCAACATTGGTGGACATTTTGCCCGAGAAAAATTTCTGTACAGCACAGACTATAAAAAAGCACATGTGTCAAAATGATTAAAGTTGTACGAAACAGACTGTCATAATGAACCTCTCATTAGGTATTTATGGAATCATAAATCCAAAGACTACATTATATCTGGTACAGAAATAACTTGTGTCTAAGAACCTTATATTTCATTCAAGAGCATCCCACAGGTGTGCACATCAGGCTGAGGTACAGACGAACTTTTCCTCCACTTCCCTCCTTCCTCAAACAGCCCACAGAAGTTTTTGTTTTGTTACCTGATACATGTCCCTTATCCCACACCAGGCTCTCAGTGCTTGGTGGCATCCCCTCAGTCTTTCTGTGTACCACCTCCTCAGCGTGGAGATGGTCACGTTCCAAACAAAGCGGCTCCCATTGAAAAGGAAATCTTCCACTCCACACATGAACACCGAAGCCATGATGTGCTCTTTCAGAGCTCCAGCCTGACAAGGCGCACACTTTGCCCTGCCTCCAGCTTGTCAGTCCTTTTTTTTTTAAAGTAAAATAAAATCAACAACACAGGCGTGTGTGCTGTAGCAGACTCATTTCCTATTTCATGGAAAAGGGTAGCAGGGGTGCCGCGTGTGCAAGAGGCCAGGGTCAAGCCTGACACAAACTCCTCTTTCACTCTTCTCTTCCCTGGGCAGACTCCCAGACATGCCTTGGCGTTGCTTGAAGTCCGGCCAACGGCTGCAGTGGCTCGAAGCACACACAGCAGCCTTGTGTCCTTCTTAACAGCTTATATAAATCTCCGTTAAGCTTCGGTTGCTACCACTATGGATTCTAATTAAACGTTTAACCCATTTCTGTGGTGTGCACGCCTCTCACGAGGACCTCATATGAATCGCTGGGGCTGGGAGGCAGTGAAGGCGGAGGAGAGGAAGGAAAAGAGAGAGAGAGCACAAACAATTCCTCTCAAGTAATTCAATACTCTGCTTCTTCCAATACACACTGTCTCTGTGCCACATTCAAAGGCACAAGGTATGAATATACAAAACTACCTCCAGCATCTCCTTGTTAGTTCCCAAAGAAATAAAACTCTTGTCGCTTCGACTTGGATCTTAAGCAAAGGCACTAGAAACTGCATTCAGCTTTGAAATCATACAAAAATAACAACCACCCTGTCATCTTTTTCAGCTTCTGTTCCCAGAAAACAAAAGAACAATCCCCCAGGTAATATGCCACTGAATGTTTCCCACCAGTCTTGTGTTTCTGTTATTATACAACACAGGGGAGAAGAATGTTGTCTTGCTAGCTAAAAGAGACCATAGTTTTAATTCTCCACTAAACTAACAGTAATCCTATTAACGCAGCACACACAGCAGGAGGAAAACAGAGGAGACTCACACAGGCTGAGTCTTTCACCATGTGGACCACAGTAAATAAACACTCAGTGAAATAATAGCCCACAAGAGAATCCCAGGCTTGCCTCCATTGGGCTAAAATTAGCCTGACAAAGTCCAGTCCTTCTGAGAATTAAACCGTTAATGCCTGAAAACAGTACCTCTTCGTTTTTATGGACAATTTGCTGGCAGGGTTTGAAAAACAACCTGCTCTTTTGAAAAAGAGCTCTCCTGTGTGATTTGTCTATGCCAAAGTTTTATTAAATTGGTGAAATACTGTAGGCCAGTGATTCCCAACCTGTGGTCTGTAAGAAATAAAATATGGCCCACAGCCTCACTGTTACTACACTGTTGCAAGAGCGACTTCCTAGTGGCCCTGCGCCTCTGGTGAAGAAGTGACAGAAAGCCACTAGGGACAGTTTCTTGGGTCTCACACTTTGCTTTTTGTATTTTTTTCAACATCAGCCCCCTCCCCTTCTTTTTTTACACAAGCATTAACAAAATCCATGGATAATAACACAGCCCAACTTATATATATAGTCTTCGTTTTTAGGTCTGTTCCTAGGGTTATTTGGGGAGCTGATTCAGAAAATTGCATTAGACAGAGCACATCAGATCTAGATTGTTAAATATGGTTTTCTGTGGGTGAGCAGGTGGCAACTACTGGATGGCATATGTTCTTTATCAGAAACTTGAGCTGATGAGGTCTATCCAATGCAGTTTTCTGAATCAGCACACCAAATAACCAAACCGAATCTAAAGTTGACCAAAAACTGATTTGTAACCCTTTGGGTACTAATGTTGGAGAGTGGTCCCTAGTCAAGTGCTCCTTGTTTAAAAAAAAGGTTGGGAATCACTGCTCTACACAGTTTGAGCAGACAAACTAAAGGAGTCTTCCACGAAAATAAAAGGGAAAGCTATGGAAGACAATCTTAGTGCCAAAATATGAGTGGGTGATAGATAGGGTTGGCAGATCATTAATGTTTGTAGCAAAGTGGGAATGTCAACACATATTATTATATGGAAAGGAATTGTCTCCATTTTGAATCTGACAACCAGAATAATTGTACATTTTTTGTTTTATTTGTCTAGTGCTACTTGACACAAGCTTCTGACCTGACCAAGCTTCTGACCTGACCTGTATATTACAAAATACATTATATTTTGTAATATAATGTATTGCTTATATTTCTTCATTTGCACATGCACAAATAACCTGTTTATATGGAACAGGAAAGGTGGATATATACAAAACAGAGACCAGGTTTAAATAGAGAGCTACAGGATCTCACACTTGCAGCCAAGATATTGAGCCAGAATAGCCTTTAACAGGCGATGTAAGGTATTGGAAAGAAGAACAAATTTGTCTGAATTGTTTTTATTGTTGTAGATATTTTTATTGGCAAGAATGGAGAGGGATGACACCTTATTGTCTCATGTGGCAAAATAACTTGTCTGTTGTTAAGCGTTATTTATTTATTTACGACATTTAAATGCCGTCCTTCTCACCCCGAAGGGGACTCAGAGCAGCTTACAAGGTATATATTACATACAATATACATATATATATTATATTTAGAATAGTCATAATACATATATTATATTATTAGCATAGTACAATATCAGCACTAAACATAGCTATATTGCACCATACCACTATATTGTAATATTATTAGTAATATTACATGTTATATAAATATATAATTATAATATCATATTATTATATTGCATTACATTATAATATTATAAATATTATATGTATATACAATAGATTATATTATTAGAATAGCACAGGAGACAAGGTAAAACTGTCCCCTGGCCTCCCCTGTCTTCACTCTGGCCCAGAGTGACAGTTGGCGCTGGGGAGAGGGGTCTCCAGCTGATGGCATATCCAGGAGACATCAGAAGGGGGTGCTCTCTCTTGCTCCAATACAGAAAGTAAAATATCTTAGGTCATCTTGGCTCTCATGGTTCTAATGACATGTATTCAATGTGACCTGAATATTCACAAATCTTGGTATACACGGAGGATCCTGGAACCAAACCTCAGTAGACAGATACTTGAGGCTCATTGTAGACCATCACTGGGAGACTTCATTGTTGTGCACTTTCAGGTTTAACACGAAGGCAACTGTATCACATGGTTTTCTTGGCAAGATCTAATTAAAAAAAATATTGGCGATTACCATTCTCTGAGGCTGAGAGTGTATGACTTGACAAGGTCACTCAGTGCATTTCCAGGGCTGAGTGAGGATTTGAACCCTGGTCTCCAGAGTCCCATACCAATGCTCAGATCATTAAACCATGCTGGAAGACATACTAATAACATCTTTTAAAAATGTGCTCATACTTCATCCCTGGAAGAGATCTAATGTCTGCAAGTTGCAATGATTACAATATACTTATGAACCAGGAGTCAATGAACCCATCCTATGAACCCTCAAAGATTGTTTAAATTCAAGGACCATTGAAACTTTCACAAGATAAATGACAAAATGAGGATGCTTTCCCAATGTTATTTTAAAGCTACAAAAACTTTTAGGGAAACAATCAATGCATTATGATAACAATCTCATGACTAGCAGAAGATGTATCATGCAGTTGTCAGGAATACCTCTAGTGAAAATCCATTAAAGTGAATCTACTTCTGGATTTACTATGGTGGCTCCTTGTCCATTCTAGAGCAGGAGATCCTACTGTGTCAAACTGGTTTTGAAAGGACTTTTAGGGAAGGTTGCTTGATACTTCCACTACTCACATACCAATCAGTACAAGCAAGAGTGTTGTTGCAATGATGAAAAGAGGTGGGATATCATAGAATCATAGAAGAGTTGAAAGAGACCTCAAGTTGGCTATTTCTTCAGTATTTTAAGTACTAGCTACCTTGAGTCCCTATATCAAGAAAAAGGTGGATACATATTATGTAAGCAAGCAAACAAACAAGTAAGTAAATAAATATTCAGTACTTGGTTCCAAGGGGTTTTGGAGCCAAGTGGTGGAAAATCATCTGTGTGCAAACCACACAGCCATTCCTACAATTTTTCGTGTCACCCACTTTCCTAATGGTTAGGCTTAAAGGAAAACCTCCAAGACAGGCATTGCAGGAAACATCTGAAGGAATGTATGGCAGATGCTATAATGGACCTACATCAGTGGGGATTTGGCTCTGTTATAAATGTCTCTAGTTCCATGTTAGTATCATCAGGGTTTTCAGAGTCTTTGTGATCTTGTAAGATGGAATAGCATTTTTTTTCAACAATCTAACTCTTTAATTCTTATGTTCAAATTTCAACAGTTATTGTTTTCAACCATGTTCTTGCTTCTTGAATTTCAACAAGAGTAAAGAAGAACATCTGTGCGGTGATAGCAGGCCTTCTCAGAAACAAACAAACTAGTTGGGAGAACACACACATTATGGCATCTGTACATAACAGCCAAATCATTTTCTAGCTAAATTATAAATAAGACAAACAAGGGAAGTATAATTACAATCACTGCTTCTCCACCCCAAGCTCTTTTATTCAGGGGCCAACTCAGAACTATTTCAATTTAAAAAGGGAATGTAATTTCCACACTGATGTTCTTAATTTAAAAGCCAACCCTGGCTAATCTTAATACTTGGCAGTCATAGGCGCACAACTGGCTCAGCCTACACTAACGTAGGCAGCGTGGGTTCATTGAAGATCAGGAGCTCTACAGCTTGTGTGACTGGAAATGTAAATAGTGCCACACATGGGCAATCTTCTACATTTATAATATACCCCGTTCTGAATAAAGAAGTTATAAAGTTTATAAAGGTGGATCCCAATACTGTACAGGATTATCCTTTCTTTTTTAATTGAGGTTTCCTGAGGTGTTATGATTGCTAATCTAACTACCAGGTGCAATAAAGCATGATCACATATTAAGGAAAACCTTTCCAAAGAACTAAGAGTTTTAAAGTAAAAATGTAATGGTTGTAAGTCTGGTTAAATCAGTTTCATGATTTCAAAAGTAACAAATGCAGTTTTGTAGCTCAAACTTATAACTATTGGGTGTGTGTGTGTGTGTGCGTGCGCATGCGCGTGCGTGTGCGTGCGTGTATCTATTTGGGTTTATACATGAGCTCTTTGTTGTTGTGTGCCTTTAAGTCATTTCACACTTATGACGAGCCCAAGTTAAACTTATCACAAGGTCTTCTTGGCAAGATTTGTTCAGAGGGAGTTGGCTCTTGTTTTCCCCTGAGGCCGAGAGAGTGTGATCTCCACAAGGTCATTCAGGGAGTTTCCATGAATGAGAAGGGAGTTGAATCTTAGTATCCAGAGTTGTAGTCTAACCCTCAAACCACATACCAGATTGGCTCTGTCTGAACAACAGTTTCCAAATATAGTACAATAACTCTTTGTATGTTTTAGCTATATGTTCTCATATCTATAAACATCTGTTTTCATTTTCCTGGGCTGTAATGAGTCACAGGTCTGAGAAAAAGGAAAGCTGTCAATGAAGAAAATATATACTAA